TTAAGTGGCAACTGTTTGTTGACTTCTGTTTCCACACCAAGGGAGGGACTGTCTAATTCATCCCAACAGCCTTAGTTAAGGGATAAGTGTAAAATACCATAGGTGTAATATGAACGAGCAACAAGGAAGGCAGCACACAGTAAGCAAACTGATGTCACTGTCTTTTCCTTGGTTCCATATTCTGTCTCAAGGACCTTTCATCCTATGACTGGGAGGCTCATTTTATTTTTATTTTTTTATAATAATAAATGGGTAATATGCTAATTATACAGGACGAAGCTGGGACCGGAGGGAAGCCGGTGCTGGCAGCCAGGGGAAGGAAGGCCTACTCTTGCACGAATTTTTGTGCATTGGGCCTCTAGTGTTTACATAATGTGAGCCATTTAACCTCTTTGGATCTAAGTAGTTTCTTCTATAAAAGGAAGAAGTTAAGACTAAATAATTCTTAAAGTCTTTTCCTCTCAATAACTCCATGACTGTATGATGGCACTGTATTCCAATAAAGACATGCCAATGCTTGCTGAGTGCTTCTATGTGGTCAATAAACCTGAAACCAAAGTTGTGTTCTTTACTGCTATGCTAGTCAATTGCCACATATAAAAAACAATCCACAGAACATTATTTTTGAAAATACATGTAAGTGCATAACAAGTTTTAACAAAATGTAAAAGATAAAATAGTATTCGTTTTACACAACACAGACTTGGCTTTGATCAAGAATGTCTAGGATTTATCTATCTGGGAAAATAAATACTTTATGCTAATATAACTTGGGCAACTAGAAATCCAAGTGATACTCAAGTATGTAGGTTGCTGATGTCTCAGAGCTAGGTTCGTATTTCCAAAGGCCCACGGCAACATTTCCATCTAATGATCGTGCCATGGCCCTTCCTGAAACCCTGCAATCACTCCCCTTGGCACTCAGAATGACACCCAGTCCTCACAGCGCCTGTGAGGCACTGCACGAGCTGGCCCTGTGACTTCTCTGCCATCTCCAGGCTTCTCTCTGCCAACTTGTCACACAGATCTTCACATGCCTGGTTCCTTCATATCCTTCTGGGGTCCACTCAAAGGTCACCTCCTCACAGCGGTCTTCCCTGCCTCCCCAGGGAAGAGCTTTATCGGGGCGGGCGGGTACATCTCCTTCTCTGATGTTCTTCACAGCTCTTATCATGACTGAAATTACGTAGTTCCTTTACTGTTTGGCTCTCCTGTCAAACCACTGGGACAGGGACAGAAGCTTTATGAGAGCAGGAACCTTGCTTATTTTTCCTCACTTAACTTTGTGATGGCTTCATTTAACACATTAAGAATGGAGGCTCAAAAAAGTTAATGACCTGATCAAAGAAAGAGAATGGCATAAAGGTGATGCCGAAAATATGAACTTGTATCTTTACACCCACCCAAACTTTCTATTTTTTTCCCTCACCTGAGGATATGTTTATTAATTTGAGAGAGAGGGAGAGAGAAACATCAATTGGTTGCCTCCCATTCTCACCTCGACCAGAGATGGAACAAACAACCTTTGGTGTATTGGATGACGCTCCACCCAAACCACCTGGCTAGGGCTTTACTCCCAAACTTTCGGTTTCCTTTTTGGGTATCAGCACCTCCACTCTGCTAATTACCTAGGTTCTCTAGACTCTAAATCCACCTACATTTTAAACTTCTAAAATACTTAAGAACTGCTATAACCCTATGAAGATAAAAAAAATAATAAAAAGATGACTCAAATGAGGTATGACAGATTCTAAAATGAAACTGCCAATTCTGTCAGCTGGTTCAAATAAACAAGAAAAGAGGTTAAGTAATGACATTAGGAAGTGTCTGAAATAATTCACATTTTTAAAGGATATGGCTGAAAAGATGGAAGATGATGCTAACCCAGAATGAAAAGACTGTTTCATTTGTTTAAGATCAGTGAAAAAAAGGCTACAATTAAAAACAAAAACTAGTGAAGTAGAAACAACCAGAAACTGGACTTAAGAATGTTTAGGCATCGTGACAGTTACATTTTAAGCATCAATTTGGCTAGGCTTTGTGCCCAGATATTTGGTCAAACAGAGTCTAGGTGTTGCTGTGGAAGTATTGTGTAGATGTAATGTAATTAACATCCACAATCAGTTGACACTGATTTCCCTCCGTATTGTGGGTGGGCCACATTCTATCAGTTGAAGCTTTCAGAACAAAAAAAACCCTGAGGTTTCTTGGGGAAGAAGGAATTCTGTGTCAAGACAGGAACAGAAATCCTACCTGAGTTTCCAGCCTGCGGACCTACCCTATAGATTTTAGACTCAGGACTGCAACATCAACCCCCGTCTGAGGTTCTAGCCTGCTGGCCAGTCCTGTGTGGATTTTGAATTTGCCAGCTCCTCCAATCATGTGAGTCAATTTCTTAAAATAAATCTCAATCTCTCTCTCTCTCTCTCTCTCTCTCTCTCTCTCTCTCTCTCTCTCACACACACACACACACACACACACACACACACATGCACGCACACTCACCCCTACCATATGATTCAACCATTCCATTCCTAGGAATTTACCCACGATAAATGAGGGCATATGTCCATACAAAGGCATATACTAGTACATGGATGTTCACAGCAGCTTTCTTTCTTTCTAAAAATATTTTTTTATTGATTTTTTAAAGAGAGAGGAAGGGAGAAAGAAATAGAAACATCCATGAGAGAGAAATAACATCAATCAGCTGCCTCCTGCACACCCCCTAATGGAAGCTGAACCTGCAACCTGGGCATGTGCCCGGACTGGGAATCTAACTGGTGATCTCTTGGTTCCTGGGTCAATCAATGCTCAAGCACTGAGTCACACTAGCTGGGCAACAGCAGCTTTATTTCTAAACGCCAAACGCTAGAAACAACCCAATGTCTATCAAGAGGTGAAAGAATATACAAACTACAGCATGTCTGCAAAATGGAAAACCACTTAGCAATAAAAAGAAATGATTGGCACACACTACAAAATGGCTAAACCTCGAAATAATCATCCTGGATGAAAAGAAGGTAGGCTAAAAATGACTGTATAATGTACCCAGGACATGCCAACTAATGTAAAGAAAATAAATAGTGGTTGCCTGGGGAGTACAGGGAGGTAGGGGAGTACCAAGAGACTAGAAAACTTTTGGGGGTCATAATAGATACATTCAGTGTCTTGACTATGGTGATGGTTTTATGTGTATAAACATATGTCAAAGCTCATAAAATTGTACATTTTCAATATGTGCCGTTTAAGTATAATAATTATATCTCAATACAGTTGTTTTTAAAAAGTTGAGCCCTGGCCAGTGTGCTCAATGGTTAGAGTGTCGATCTGTGCCCCAAAGGGTCGTGGTTTTAATTCCCAGTCAAGGGCACATACCTGGGTTGCAGATTCGTTCCCCAGGATGGGTGCAGGAGGCAACCAGTAGATGTCTCTCTCTCACATCAATAATTCCCTCCCCAGCCTCCAGCTTCCACTCTCTCTAAAAAGCAGTGGAAAAAATATCCTCAGGTGAGGATTAAAAAAAATTTTCATCAGAAGTGTTAAGGAAGAATGTCAAGACTTAAAAATGCCTTTTCAGCAGAAATAAGTAAAGCCTTACTTAGGATCAATTGCCAAAGATAACCTAAATCTATTTCACTCCTTTTTGAGTCACCTTTTTTTAAAAAAGAAAAAAAAATCTTTAATCTGGGAAGGGTAAATAAGGATTAAAGGGATAAAAAGAAATTGAAGCTTGAGATAGGAGAGAGCAAAAAGAAGGAATTGCTTTTAATTCATATTTATAGATCAAGAAAAATCACATCCGCCGAAACCGGTTTGGCTCAGTGGATAGAGCATCGGCCCGCAGACTGAAAGGTCCCGGGTTCGATTCCGGTCAAGGGCATGTACCTGGGTTCCGGGCACATCCCCAGTAGGAGATGTGCAAGAGGCAGCTGATCGATGTTTCTCTCTCATCGATGTTTCTAACTCTCTATCTCTCTCCCTTCCACTCTGTAAAAAATCAATAAAATATATATTAAAAAAAAAAGAAAAAGAAAAAAAAGAAAAATCACATCCTAAGACATTAAATGCATCTGCAAATTTGGTAATTTCTAAGGAATGAGAAAGAAGGGCCATGAGAATGGATGCAGAATCCATGCAAAACTCTAGAACTTTCTGGCCCACCTGCCCCTAAACATGTGTGCTCTCCAATGTATTCTAGTCTCGGTCTACAGCAGGGATATACCCTTCCAGGAGACTCACGATTCCCTTGGGTAATTTGATGAAAGTTATGGCCCAGAACAATGTGTATTTACGTAAATATTTACATGTAATTATTTCACAGGTTTCAAGAGTTCCCCTGAACCTTGGCCATGTACTCCTCAGCTTCTCAGGTAAGGGAATTTCTTGCAAAATCCTCCCCTGGGGTTTGTCTCTAAAACCCCCTGCAGAGTGAGTGAGGGGTATGGCACAGCTATGGCAAAGAGAAATTTGAACGCTCACAAATAAAATTCATATGGAACCTAGGATCACATAATATTTTTCTAGATATGTTGGCAAAATAATTCAACTAGACAGATTCTTAGGTTACCTAGTAAGTGCTGACAAACAGATTTATGAAGAAAGTTTCTGATGGCTATACTGCAGAAGCCCATTTTCTTAAACATTTGCTTCACAAAAGGACATAGAAAACATGCTTATCAAATTTTGGAGATAAGTTGTGACAGTAAGTAGCTGGACCACAGACCCAGGATTTAAAACATATCAACAAATCCATCCTAGGGATAAGGTGAAGGTCAGGAAAGATCCTCAAATTCAAAGACCTTTTCATATATATATACTCGCTTCTTCCTCAACTATGAATAACTGGACTGCAAGCTCCTTGAGCACAAGTCTTATTGATCTTCCTAGAGCACCTGCAATATTGTCAGAATACACTTTGCTTGGGCTACATAACTCCATGGTAACGAATGGCTCTAATATCACGGTGCCTACGACACAAGCATTTGTTTCTCACTTACATAAACGTCTACTGTGAATCAGCTTCAGCGAGGCTCCGACATCCTGGGACCCAGTCTGAAGGCTCCGTCGTCCTGGGACCGGCCCTAGCCAAAGCATGCTGGTTCTATGAGAGAAAGAAAAGACCACCAGCAGAACCATGAGACGGAGTTTAAAACATCTGCTCAAATGTCTGACGTGTCACTTCCTCTAACATTTTCACTGGTCAAGGAAATCCAAGTGTCCAAACCTGGTGTCAACAGAGTGGGAAATATAGTCCTCCTGCAGAGGACCCTGGTCGAGAGCACAAACATTTTGAACAATACTACAATTTACCAGAGCCTTCCCAACAGAACGTGCTCAGTGCCTGGAGGTAATTATTTATATCCCAGGCCATAAACACGGAAGGACAGGGACTGTACTCCGTCTTGTTCACTGGATGTGCCAGCCACAGGGTGCTGGCCACACAGCAAAGGACAAGCTGAATGCTTACACGGTGAGCAGCAATGAGATGAGCATGGGATCTGGAATCACAAGCCTGGGATGAAGTGTTATGTCTGCCAATTCCTGACTTAGTGGAAAGTAATTTTTCTCCTCTGACTCTTGGATAGTTGTTGCAAAGATTAAATAAAAATATTTGTGAAAGCCCCATGAAACCTGTGCTTTAGCTGTTATCTTCAGATACATAGTCCAATAGGGTGAAATTTGATAAAGATAAATTCATTTCAACTTTTATATAATGCAATACATAATATCTGGCATTTACTTTTAAAGTACCAACTGGCAAGAATAAGAAAGATTAGACTTAAAGCAGTTCACAGGGAAAAACAACAAGGTTTTAGTTGGCCATACGCTCAATGTGATCAAAGGGTAGTGTGGCTGCCAGAAAACGTTAATGCAAATTTCAGGCTGCATTAATAGAAGCACAGTATCCAGTTGATAGCTTCATTGTCTTCAGCAATTGTCCAGCCACATCGGAAGTAGTCAGTTCAGCTCTGGCCACCATGTTTTAAGAGGTATAGTGACAAACAGAACCTTGTCCTGAGTTTAGTGATGTGGATGGAGTAAGGTTTGAATACTATGTCATGTGCATATGGTTTGAGAATTAGGGCTTTTCCCCCTTAGCGCATCAAAAAGACTTAAGTAGGATTTAACAGTCATTCTCAGATACTTTAAGGGTTACTGTTTGTAAGAAGACTGACTGTCACATACATAGTTCTAGATTGCCAAAGACCAGGAAGTGAAAGTTAGGGAAACAGATCTAGCTCAAAGGGAAGTTATTTCTAGCTGGAAACATTCTAAAACAAGAAGGGTGGATGACAACATGATAGAGATTGGATGTAGGTGGAACAACTCTAACTTACTCCTCTATGTAACTGAGCATTTTTTGAGGCATTTGAAAATGTCCAAACAGTATTTCTCTTTTCTGATTAAATAGTAATACTAATAACAACAAGAAACAAGAACTGAAGTAAAAAGTAAAACAAGTTGTTTGGCTTAACAGGCACAGAAAGGCATGCTGGGGAAGGGAAATGAAATTTCCAGCTAGATAACATTAAATACAGCCACAGTGTCTTGGTTTGCACAGAGGAAATAGGCTTAGTCAAAACAGAATTCTGCACGTTGTTTTTCCTGGTATGACCTAACTCCTGTAATTTCCAAGGAGGTGCAAAAAAATATTTTACAAGTTCCTACAATGACAATCAAGCAAAAATTTGCTAATACTAAACTAGTGTTGTAATTACAAGACAGTAATTCCTAGTGTATCGATCAACTTGAATAAGTATTCAATTTTCCCATGGGCATTTCACACATGCCACTGGCATTTCAAAATGATACCTTGCTAATGTCTTATTGTTTCCTTACTCTATTCAAAATCTAGTACTTTCCCCCTCATTTCCAGCTTCCATTTCCCCACACATTCTATGCATACTTTGGTCTCCCCAGTAGGTGATAAGTAGTGTATAAAGATAACACCTGACTTATCTTTATATTCCAGCCCCTCATGTTAAAATCACTCAATTAGTATAGTAAACTCAAAATTGTTTTTCAAAATTTCTTTCTTTACTAAAATAGTTTAAAGTTATACACTAATGTCTCATATTTTAACTAGAGGCTCAGTGCATGAAATTTGTGTACAGGTAGGGTCTCTAGGCCTGGCAGGGAATCAGGGTTGACCTGTGGGGTGACCAGCAGGGCGATGGGGGGGGAGGGGAAGGCCCCTACTGGCACCTGCCTTGGCTGGCTCCGCCCCCTGCTCCTGGTCACCTCCCTCTGTGGGCTGGAGGCAGCTCCTGTGTTGAGCGTCTGCCTCCTGGTGGTCAGTGCGCATCATAGCGACCAGTCATTCCACCGTTTGGTCGATTTGCAAATTAGGCTATTATTATATAGGATTGTTACACACGAGAAAGCCATAGCAGGCCATAAAGACACACTGAGTATTGTGTTTCATTTCTTATTATAACTACTCTTTGCAAAATATCTTGGGATACAAATTTCTTCTTCACTTAAATTTTTCTCTGCATCCTAAATGAACATATTTAACAGGCTTTCACTGTACTAACACAAACTACTAACACCCTACTTATTGCCCTCACTGCAGGCACATAGATAAAATATGAACTTAAAAAAAAAGGTTCATTGACTTTTAAAGTAAATTTGTATGTGCCTTTTTGGAATGAATGTACACTCAGATTTTTAAACATCTATTCTTCCAAGCCAAAAAAGTAAAGGAAAATGTAAAAAAAAAAAAAAAAAAAAAAAAAAAGCTGAACACCTATCCTCTGCAAGGGAGCATGCGAGTTTAGGACGCATTTGGTACAGGTTGAGGCTTGTCGAACTTGTCACTGGATGCCTAGCCTGCTATTTATCTCTCCTCTCTTGTGGGCACTACCAAGAACTGCGCAGGTCATGGGAACGCAATGCTCTGCGGCAGGATCAGGAGAACAGAGTTTCAAATCTCCCCTGTCAACCCCTCTGACAAAAACAGTCTACATTCCACTGGGAGGGGGGAGAATGAGTCAGTCAGTAAAGAGATAAAATAGTCGCCCGTTTGAAAATATAACTAACTAAAATATAAAATTTCTTTTAAATTAAATACTTGGATATTAAAGCAACTCTTTTTAAAAGATGGAAATGATGCACAATAAACATTATTTGTTTAAGAAGCCACTAGAAACTAATTATAGATAACATATACTGAATGTTTTCTGTGTGTTGGGCATACTTAAGTGCTCAACATACATTAACTCATGTATATCCTTCATCACAGCCATTTAAAATAATATGATCAACATCCTCATTTTACAGGTCAGAAAAGAGAGGCACAGAATGGTTAAGTAACTTACACAGGATCACACAGCTATAGGCAGGTGGGAAAGGGATATGAATTCAGGCAGGACTGCTTCAGGACCCATTCTTTAACCTCTATGGGTAGGTATCACTAAAATCCACACTTTGATATTTGAAGGCCTTTTTTGAGTTTATTAGCTTGAATCATATATGAAGAAAAATGTTTATCAGCAATCAAGACTACAGAATTACTATTAAAACTAGAGGCCTGGTGCATGAAATTCACGTATGGGTGTGTGTGTGTGTGTGTGTGTGCGTGTGTGTGTATGTACATCCCTCAGCCCGGCCTGTACCCTCTCGCAATCTGGGCCCCTCAGGGGATGTCCGACTGGGGATCGGGCCTAAACCAGCAGTTGGACATCCCTCTTGCAATCCAGGACCACTAGCTCCTAACCGCTCGCCTGCCTGCCTGACCGCCCCTAACCTCTCTGCCTGCCTGCCTGATCTCCCCTAACTGCCTTTGCCTTGGCCCCCGCCACCACAGCTTCATCTGGAAGGACATCTGGAAGGACGTTCAGCTGTTTGGTCTAATTAGCATATTACACTTTTATTATTATAGATGCTTTCACAACTTTTAAGATCAGATGACTGAATCCAATACATCACTTCATTTAAGCCAATAGCACAACTAATCTAATCTAATCTTTCTATGTAATATATATTTTGGCTCTATTACTCTTCATATGTGTAAATGGGAGCCTTTTTATAAAGCATAAGTATGTGACACTATGTCACTATAAATACTTTGCACTGGCAAGATCTGGGATGTTTTATTCACATGAGTGTGCATTAGCGTAATTCTACTACTTCTCAAATTCTAAATGCAATTATTCAACAGACCTTTGAATACTTAACAAACACCTAGTAGTATGGATACAAAGATAAATTAGATGGTCTCTGCTCTCAAGGGAGGCCACAGTTACAAAACAATGAAAGTAAGTGCTTTTAGGGAGCTATGACCAAGGTTCCAAGGGAACAGAGTTACACCTAATATGGCAAGAATGACAGCAGTTCTATGTGCAAAGGCATGGAGATGTAACATTTTCCTCTTAGGGAATAACAAGCAATTTAAATTGAACCAGAATGCAAGGTGTACAAGGTAAGCCAGGGAAACAGTGATGTGAGATGAATGAAGCTGGAGCTAGATAAATAAGTGTCTTAGAAGTCATAATAAAAAGACCCAACCATTGCAAGGATTTTAAGAAGGACAGTGATGAGATCAAATGTGCTAATGATAGTGGCTATCACACTTTATTTTCAACAACAGAACCCTGCACTCAAATGAAATATTATGCACACTTCCATACTTAACATTGATCATGTTAACTGCACTGGTTGAAATTGGAATGAGCCTGCTCAACTTCCTCCAGAAGCCTTTACTTAATTTTCAATTCTACTAAGTCTTTAGCTAAGTTTCAATTCTTACCTAAGTTTCAATTCAGTGCTTTAGAAAGAAGTCATTACATCTTCCCAATCATGCTCTATATACTTCATGCCTCTCCCATTGTGATTCTAACTTCTCAGGTATAAGGATTCATTCTCGTAGTTTATATTCAATTACAGAACTAGACGTAACTAAGGAGATAGTATGAGGCCTTCAAAATTAATGACAAAAAGTTACAGTACAGAAGAAAGATAAAGATTAATTATCAGCTTTTGCACTCGAGTTCAATTATAATTTAAGTGACCGCACTTTCTAATTTACAAGTCAGAATTTATAGTTAGACATAATGGCCACAGCTTATTCAAAACTCATAGTGTTAGAAAATATAGACT